CTTCTTGGATGTGGTGAGCAACTGCTAACCTGTGACATGTCAGTCCCTAAGAGCGCTCCACCAATTCACGAACACAGTCCTGTGCAACACATAGACTAACACAGTGTTACAATCCCACAGTATACAAGTGAATGTGGGACTGAGCCTAAAGAGACGTCAGTTTTGCTGGGGACATATTGCTGGGGACATATTACTGGGGACAGTGTATCTGGGAACACATTGCTGGGGACATATTACTGGGGACAGTGTATCCGGGGACATATTGCTGGGGACAGTGTATCTGGGGACATATTACTGGGGACAGTGTATCTGGGGACATATTGCTGGGGACAGTGTATCTGGGGACATATTGCTGGGGACAGTGTATCTGGGGACACATTGCTGGGGACATATTACTGGGGACAGTGTATCTGGGGACATATTGCTGGGGGCAATATTGCTGGGTGTTGGACCTGAGAAGTGGGTACCATCAGATCCCCATGCATCCAGACGACCGAGAGAAAACGTCTTTCATCTGCCCTGTGGGGTTCTTTGAGTTTGAGCGGATGCTGCAAGGTCTGTCTAGAGCCCCTGCTACCTTCCAGCATTTGATGGAAAGGACTGTTGGTGACATGAATCTGATTGAAGTACTGGTGTATCTAGATGACATAATTGTCTTTGGACGTACTATGGAAGAACATGAGGAGTGTCTGGAGAAGGTCCTAAGACGACTCTATGAAGAAGGGTTGAAGCTGTCTCTTGAGAAGTGCCAGTTTTACCAGTCATCAGTCACCTACCTTGGGCATGTTGTCTCAACCGAGGGAGTTGCAACTGACCCCAAGACATTGGAAGCTATCACCACATGGCCCAGGCCCTGAAATGTGCAAGAGTTGAGGTCATTTCTGGGGTTCTGCTCTTACTACAGGAGGTTTGTGGAAGGATTCACCAAGATACCGAGACCTCTCACTGGACTTCTGCAGGCTGGTGAAGATGATAGGCCTCAGAGGGAGTCCTGCAAGCTAACGGAGTGAGAAAGTCTCGAGAGTCCATAGAGGGAGAGTGGTCTGATCAATGCGAACAAGTATTCCTTCGATTGAAGTGAAGCTTGAAGAATGTCCCAGTCTTAGCCTATGCTGACCCCAGCAAGCCCTATGAGCTCCATGTTGATGCCAGCAGAGATGAACTGGGTGGTGTGTTGTATCAAGAATGTGATGGATGTTTGAGACCTGTCACTTATGTGAGTCGAAGCCTTACTCCATCTGAGAGCAACTACCCTACCCACAAATTGGAATTCTTGGCATTGAAATGGGCTGTCGTGGACAAGTTGAAAGAATATATGGTGCAGTCTTTGAGGTCAAGACAGATAAACAACCCGCTCACATATGTCCTTACCACGGCTAAACTGGATTCCACGGGACATCGATGGTTGGCAGCACATTCCAGTTTCCATTTCAGCTTAAAGTATCGACCTGGAGTTGGAAATAGAGATGCTGATGCTCTGTCAAGAAGACCCCATGACCAAGGAGTTGCTAAGGAAGAGTGGACTCAACTGATGACAGAAGGTGTTCAGGCTTTGGGTCAAGGGATTGAGTACCAATGTTGAGGAACAACGGGGGCTGAAACCCTTGGAGCAACCACTGTTGGAGTCCCAAGGCTCTACTGTGACCTAACCCAAGTGCGGAATGAGGGACTGCCTGCCCTTTCCAAGAAAGACTTGAGAAAGGATCAAACAGATGATCCTCTTTGTCATCTGACTTTGAAAGCTTTGGAGAGTGGTCACCCAGAACTTTTGCTAGTAGCAGACTCCCCAAAGGAGGTTGGATTGGTTCACAAGGAGTGGAATCGACTGCAGTTGTCAGATGGGGTGGTCTACCGAAGGGGCCCCTCGGATGACTCGGAAGAAACTTGGCAACTGTTCCTCCCAGAAAAGCATAGGGGGACAGTGCTGAATGCATTACACGATGTGCATGGCATTTGGGATCTGATAGAACATTCAAGTTAGTTAGGGATTGTTTCTACTGGCCATGTATGTGAGCTGAAATTGAAAGCTACTGTCACTCCTGTCTTCACTGCATCCAGAGGAAGACTTTGCCCACCAGAGCTACCCCAATGGGCCACCTACAAAGTCAAGGCCCCATGGACCTGGTGTGCATTGATTTCTTGTGTTTGGAACCCGATACGAGTGGTCAAGGGACATATTGGAAGTGACTGACCATTTCACCCGTTATGCCCAAGACTATCCAACGAGGGACCACCAAGCTGTTACAGTCGCCAACGTGTTAGTAGAGAAATTCTTTGTTCACTATGGGCTGCCCCAGAGAATTCATTCCGATCAAGGAAGAGACTTTGACAGCAGACTCATTTAAACAGCTATTCGATCTCTTGGGCATTAAAAAATCAAGAACGACACCTTACCACCCTCAAGGGGATCCTCAACCAGAGAGGTTTAATCGTACACTCCTTGACATGCTTGGAACCCTCCCATCTGACAGAAAACAGTACTGGAGTAGACATATCTCCGCGGTGGTTCATGCCTATAATAGTACTGAAAATGACGCAACGGGTTACTCACCATATAGACTTATGTTTGGAAGAGAAGCTCGTCTACCAGCGGGCTTGGCGTTCGGAATCTCGATAGAACTTCAGCTACGTCCCACAGGGGTTATGTGGATAGGCTCAGAAAGAACCTGAAGACAGTCTATGAGAAGGCGCAGGACGCTTCTGATAACAGAGGTCAGTGGAACAAGAAGAATTATGACCTAAAAGTTCGGATACATGATTTACAGCCAGGTGACAAGGTGTTGCTATGGATTCTAGGCCCTTCTGGAAAGCATAAGTTAGCTGATCGGTGGAGTTCTCAACAATACGTCATTTGCAGACAGCTCTCTGGCCTGCCTGTATACCAAATCCGGCCTGATGGCAAGACAGGGCCCTTAAAGACCTGGCATCAAAACCATCTACTGCCCCTGAGTGAAGCTGTCAGAATACCTGTGAGAACTTCATCATCCAAACCATCTTTTTCAAGGCAAGTTCCCGTCACCAGGTCTCAATTTCTACCATCAGATGAGGCTGCAGTTGGAGGAGATGATAGTGATGATGATCTGGAGGTTGGATGGTTGTGGCCACCTGAGTCCATGGATGCCACTCCATCCATGTCCATTGCTAACCAGCACTCAGGCATGCTTCTGCCCGATGCACCTGAATTCATACCTTGGGAAAACACAGAGCTAGTAGAGGAAGACTATCCATTAGTCTCTGAACCCGATGAGGAAATTCTAGATGAGCATGCCTCTCGATCTGAAGGACTTTCTGAGGAAAGCCACCTTGGACCTGATGAAGAACCCTGTGAAGAGAAGCACCTTGAACCCAAAGAACAGAGTTAAGAGAACAGTGAGACCCCCACTTAGAACAAATGACACCCCTGGAGCCAGCTCAGAAGAAACCTCTATTACTCCAGAAGAAGAGATAATTGAGTCCCCTCAACCTGTACTACTAGAAAATAATTCTGCAGATGAATGTCCTTCATGGCTTCTAGAATCAAGGTCTAAGCGACTGGTGCGACCTCCTCAGAGACTCACTTACGACTTATCTGGTAATAGCACAGAAGAAGCTGTAACTACTGTGCGAAGATAACCTGAGGTGTCCACCATGTCCATAGACGTATCAAAAGGACTTGAGTCCTCCCCAGGCCATCAGCACACCTTGGTGGAATGTCCCCCTACCCACCTCATTTGGTAAGAGCTACCTTCTCATAGAAAGGGTGTATAATTTGAAAAGTCATGTGTAATTTTTGCTAAACTGTTGAAATTTGTATATACAGAGTTATCCTTTGGGAGGACCCAAAGATTTAAGTGGGGGGAGAGTGTAGCGGGGCCGTTGCTGTTTCCCTTTTTAAAGAACTGTTTCCCTTTTAAGACTGCATGTTGTCAGAAAGGGTTTGATTGGCTCAGCTCTCAGCAGTACTAGAGTGTTTGTGGGAGTTGCAGTTTCATCCCTTCCCCAACCCCCCTCCAATGGTGGAAATGGCCAAACCCCAAACGACGAGGCTCAGGGAAACCTTCCCCAACCCCCCCTCCAATGGTGGAAATGGGCAAACACCAAATGACAAGGCTCAGGGAAACCTTCCCCAACTCCCATCCAATGGTGGAAATGGCCAAACACCAAATGACGAGGCTCAGGGAGACCTTCCCCAACCCCCCTCCAATGGTGGAAATGGCCAAACACCAAATGACAAGGCTCAGGGAAACCTTCCCCAACCCTCCTCCAATGGTGGAATCCTTTGTCCCAGAGACCAGCAGGCCCTTCTGGAACATTCTGGGGAAGGATAAGACTACGTGAGTATAATATCTCCATTATTTGTACAAAACCGCACCTGATGATGAAAACCAAAGGGGTCAAAATACACTTTGCAGGAGGAGCATGAAAAATCCCGGCCAGTGATTTCCTATGAACGTCAGCGCCATCTAGTGGCCATAATGAGGTATTTTCCTGAAATAATGCCATCTGCCAAAAAATATTGCGATACAGATCATAGGAAATCGCAGAGTACGATCTGGCCAATATTGGTCCTGGCTGGACGAAGGTGCACCCCGTCCCAGCAACTTGTCTTTTCTTTTTCATAATCAACCTCTAAGTCTGCAAACCACAAAATTCACTCAGCCAATGACAGGTAAGGACGCCATTTTTATTTGGTTTAATGTGCTTTCTTCTTCCCCACATGAGAGCTGGGATGTGCAGCAACATTCATCTAGAAGACATTTCCCGCACTCAAGGCACTAATACCTCCAGGGTATTGTGGGAATCCAGGAAGACAGGACATTTCCCTCACTCAGGACAGGAACGTGACTTCTCCCCCTTGTGAGATCTCTGATGTCTGGAAAGATGGGACTTTAGTGAAAAACATTTCCCGCACTCAGGACAGGGAAGTAGCTTCTTCTTCGTGTGAGATCTCTGATGTCTGGAAAAATTAGACTTATCAGAAAAACATTTTCCGCACTCCAGACAGGAAAATGGCTTCTCCCCCTTGTGCAGTCTCTGATGATAATGAAGACAGGTCTTATCTGAATAACATTTCCCGCACTCAGGACAGGAAAACGGCTTCTCGCCCGTGTGAGACCTCTCATGCACAACAAGTAATGACTTGCGTTTAAAACATTTCCCGCACTCGAGACAGGAAAATGGTTTCTCCTGCGTGTGATACCTCTGATGTGTGACAAGTTTTGATTTTATTGCAAAACATTTTCCGCACTCAGGACAAGAATATGGTTTCTCACCTGTGTGCAATCTCTGATGTCTATAAAGATAGGACTTCCCTGAAAAACATTTCCCGCACTCAGGACAGGAATACGGCTTCTCTCCCGTGTGAGACATTTGATGTGTAACCAGTTGTAATTTTTCTACAAAACATTTCCCGCACTCAGAACAGGAATACGGCTTCTCACTTGTGTGCAATTTCAGATGTCTATAAAGACTTAACTTCCCGGAAAAACATTTCCCGCACTCAGAACAATAATACGGATTTTCTTCTGTGTGAGATCTCTGATGTATGGAAAGATGGGACTTGTTAAAAAAACATTTCCCACACTCAAGGCAGAAATGTGACTTCTCTCCAGTGTGAGATCTTTGATGTAGGGAAAGATAGGACTTCTTTGAGAAACATTTCCCGCACTCGGGACAAGGATACGGCTTCTCCCCCAAGTGAGATCTTTGATGCTCAATAAGATTGAATTGAAACCGGAAACACTTCCCGCACTCAGTGCAGGAGAAGCTCTTCCCTGTTGGAAGGCCGGCCCGGTCCCGCACAGTCTGAGGTTCTTCAGGATACGAGGAATCCGATGGTCCATCTACACTGGGTGGTGCCAGATGGACATTGGAGGGAGCCGGGTTTTCTCCTGGACTATACTGTGTGATGTCCTCATCTTCTACTTTCCAGTCTGGAGACAAAGTGAGACAATCCTCGGAGGTTTTCCTCATCTCCCGGCCATGGACTAAAATACAAAGACAAAGAGGATTAATAGACAGGAGCTGATTGGTTCCCCCAAACCAGGACTCTGCCCACATCAGGCAGCTTGGTCTCTAAGGAGCTTACAAGGTGAATGATTCCTTTTGAGCTCCAGGCTCTTGTCAGACAGAGAGAGATCCAATGAGAACTTTATTATCTGGACTAATCAGTGAGCAGCATGGGTGGAGGAATGGATTTAGTGTTCATGACCCACCTGTGCTGATCTCTGTAGGAGTGTCCTCCTCTATAAATGTCCCCGTTATTCCATCCTCCTCCATAGACTGCTGATCATCCCTCACATACGCCTCTTCTTCTTCTGATTTCACCTCAAATTCTATATCGATTGGATCTCCACTCTACATCAAGAGAAGGAGAGAAAATATCATCTGTAAGATAGAAGATTTATTATTGTGACATCACAGAAAATCCGCACATCGTCTCCATGAGTCCATGTTCTAGATTCTCCGTCCCACCAACCTTGTAATAGTGAGGGATGGTGTGACCTTCCTGTGTGGAATCCCGGGAATCAGGGGACGGGGACATCTCTCTGGTGGGTTCCTGGTATTAGGTGGCTCCATCATATCCTTGTGTCCTTCTGAAAACTCCTCCATCACTCCATACTCCTCATCCTCCTCTTTATACTCTTCTTTAACATCAATATTATCATCCCCGAGGATTCCACTCTGAATATATAATAAAACATTCAATGTAACAAACATGCTGTGTATAAATCACAACTACCAATAATTGTCAATCATCTACCTGATGATGGTGAGGGATGGTGTGACCTTCCTGTGTGGAATCCCAGGAAAACAGAGGACAGGGACATCTCTCTGGTAGATTCCTGTTATTAGGTGGCTCCATCATGTCCTTGTGTCCTTCTGAAAGTTCCTCCATCACTCCATACTCCTCATCCTCCTCTTTATACTCTTCTTTAATAACAATATTTTCATCCCCGAGGATTCCACTCTGAATATATAATAAAACATTCATTGTAACAAACATGCCATGAATAAATCATAACTATCAGTGATTGTTCCTCATCTACCTGATGATGGTGAGGGATGGTGTGACCTTCCTGTGTGGAATCCCGGGAATACAGAGGACGGGAACATCTCTCTGGTGGGTTCCCATGACTGGATCCATCTGTAGGAAACACACACACTGACTGAATCCATTGTTTCTATGTGTTTATCAGATGATGGGGGATCTAGGTGGAGCCTCCGTACTGCTCTCTCCTTTCCAATAAAGTCTCCTCTTACCCGGTGATGTGAGGGGCGGCTGATTGTCCATCATGACAACCTTGTAGAGGTCCTTGTGTCCTTCTAGATACTCCTTCTCCTCCATGGACTGGAATGGCCTGTTCGTGTTCTTCAGATGTGTCGCTTTTCCACCAATCACCTTTTTCGTCTTTCCTATTGTATCATATAACTGCTATTAGGTGCGGGGGATGGGGGGTTCATGTAGATACTATACAAACTTTGAATAGAATAAACAAAAATATTCCTCTATTTATATGTGTGTATCATCATCTGCTGGAGATAAAAGATGCCACAGTGACTATGGAGGAAGAGGACGGATGTGACTGAGGAGGAAGAGGACGGGCGTGACGGCGGAGGGAGAGGACGGGCGTGACGGCGGAGGGAGAAGACGGGCGTGACGGAGGAGGGAGAGGACGGGCATGACGGCAGTGGAAGAGTACGGGCTTGACGGCGGAGGAAGAGGACGGACGTGACGGCGGAGGAAGAGGACGGACGTGACAGGGGGTTACTGGGTGTAAATATAAAATAAGATCTTATTACCTCCTCTGCTGCCACTTCCAGCAATGTCTCCTCTCCACTTCCTCCCGACTCACCTCTTATCCAGAACTTCATATTTATACCTGACATCACTTCCTGTCTTCCATAGAGACTTCCTGTCTGGGTAGAAGTGAGATCCCCACCTTGTGGAGCTCAGAGGAACTGCAGCCCCGAGAACCATCTGGTAGTGTGACCCCGGCCTTTTGCTGGGTGTGTATGGACTGTATGTCCTCATAGAGGGGTCACCTCCACTCTCACCAATGGGGACAGAAATATATGACTGCCTAGTCCAGTCTTTCTCAGCCAGGGGTCCTCTAAAGGGTTCTAGGGGTTCCTCCGAAGGGTTCTAGGGGTTGCTTGAGATTAAATCGGTTCCTGTCTCTCAGTAGAGAAGTGTCTTATGAGCTTCATGTATGTTGCATTTCTGAGGGACACGTCAGGGAAGTGTTGCCCGTAGCACATATGAAGCTTCTCGGCACATACATATGTGCATGCTCAGGCTGGGCAGATGTGCCCAAACATGGGCATAGGAGCGTGCACACACATGCACACTCGCACAGCCAGGCAGGCTCCCATCACCAGTGCTGGCACCAAACCATCTATAGAAACATTTGGCAGTATTGGCACATTGCAGGTTGGTCTACAGATTCTGTGTGTTCGTTCCAGATTCCTCGATCCTGACCCAGCTTGCTCCTGACCTCCGTTTTGGCTGTTCCCTGCCCTGACCTCGGCTTGTCTCTAGATTCTGCCTCCTCTTCTCCTCCCGTTGCTGACTTGGCTTGTGACTGACTATCCTGCTGTCTCTCATTGATGCCTGATCTGCCCGGCTTGTCTGACCTGCTTCCTCCTCATCCAACCTGCTACGGCTCTTCAGGCCAGCGAGCTCACATCTGGGTCCTGCTTACTGCTGCAGATCCACGGTCTACTGCCAGCCAAGCTCTGTGCCAGCTCATCGGCCACCAGCCTGTTCTGCCTGATGACGCCTGCTGCCCACACAGACTACTGGACCGATCCCCGGCACTTATATCCTGCCGTGTGGCTACCGGCGGCCCCCGAGCCAGAGCTGTAGGAGAGACCTTCCTCAGACATGGAGCCCATGCCCTGTCCCTAGTCTAGTGTCCTTCTGCCACCTCGCTCCCAGTGACAGAATGGTATCCCGCCATGCACCTAGCATGGAACTCATGTGTGCACTTAGCCAACTCCTTCGGCTCTCCTGTGCCATTTTGCCAGATACATGAGGTCTGCATACCTTGGGCTAGGTCCCAGACTCCTTTGGGGAACTGACCGATAAGGAGGGAACCAGAACACCAATCCCCTCACTACTGGAGGACCTGTCACCTACACCACGTACCATGCCTATGACCGGCTGCTTTGTTCTTCACACTAGGTATTGGTTACCCATAGCAACTGCATTTCTGTTCTCGCTGGTCTCGCCCAGTAACCCTTTAGTAGTGGCCTTGCTTCACCCCCCCCCCCCCACATGTGCTTTACTGACCCTGTTCTTCCATACGTCAGGACCCACCATGCACCCCTCTGAATGACTTCAGACCAGGCATAGGACAGTGACAACTTTTACTTCTCCATAGAAGAATGACCACTGCTATAAGAGGGTCCTTCTCCTATCGGTCACGAATGAAAGGGACCGCTACACTGACCACTGATATAAGGGGGTCCTTCACCCATCGGTCACCAATGTAAGCGACCGCTACACTGACCACTGATATAAGGGGGTCCTTCTCCCATCGGTCACCAATGTAAGGGACCACTGCACTGACCACTGATATAAGGGGGTCCTTCTCCCATCGGTCACCAATGTAAGGGACCACTACACTGACCACAGATATAAGGGGTCCTTCTCCCATAGGTCACCAATGTAAGGGACCACTACACTGACCACTGATATAAGGGGGTCCTTCTCCCATCGGTCACCAATGCAAGGGACCAATAAACGGACCACTTGGAACGAACCCATGTTTAAATAGGATTCAGCCTGTTGGGGGGGGGGGGTTATTTAGCCGAGTCGAATCTCCAGCTGCCGTATTGCGAATACTGCTAAACGTTGGAGCTTCCCGCTCCAGCTGCTTGATACGGATTCAGTGGTCGCAGGATCCCCAACAACTAGTGACATCTCCCTTCTGGACCAATCGGTTGCCAACCGGGATTTCCTGGTTGACGGGTGAATGTAAATAAAATGTACAAATAAAAAAAAAACTACATGGGGCCCACCAAAAAAACATACCGGCAGGGGAGACATCAGAGGTCCATCAGCTTCACAGGAGACAGGGGAGATATTAGAGGTCCATCAGCTTCACATGAGGACAGGGGAGACATCAAAGGCCCATCAGCTTCACAGGAGGGCAGGGGAGACATCAGAGGTCCATCAGCTTCACAGGAGGACAGGGGAGGCATCAGAGGCCCATCAGCTTCACAGGAGGACAGGGGAGGCATCAGAGGCCCATCAGCTTCACAGGAGGGCAGGGGAGACATCAGAGGTCCATCAGCTTCACAGGAGGACAGGGGAGGCATCAGAGGTCCATCAGCTTCACAGCAGGGCAGAGGAAACATCAGAGGTCCATCAGTTTCACAGGAGGGCAGGGGAGACATCAAAGGCCCATCAGCTTCACAAGAGGGCAGGGGAGACATCAGAGGCTCATCAGCTTCACAGGACGGCAGGGGAGACATCAAAGGTCCATCAGCTTCACAGGAGGGCAGGGGAGACATCAGAGGCTCATCAGCTTCACAGGAGGGCAGGGGAGACATCAGAGGCCCATCAGTTTCACAGGAGGGCAGGGGAGACATCGGAGCCCATCAGTTTCACAGGAGGGCAGGGGAGACATCAGAGGCTCGTCAGTTTCACAGGAGGGCAGGGGAGACATCAGAGGTCCATCAGTTTCACAGGAGGGCAGGGGAGACATCAGAGGCTCGTCAGCTTCACAGGAGGGCAGGGGAGACATCAGAGGTCCATCAGCTTCACAGGAGGGCAGGGGAGACATCAGAGGCCCGTCAGCTTCACATGAGGGCAGAGGAGACATCAGATGCCCGTCAGCTTCACATGAGGGCAGGGGAGACATCAGATGCCCATCAGCTTCACAGGAGGACAGGGGGAGACATCAGAGGTCCATCAGCTTCACAGGAGGACAGGGGAGACATCAGGGACCCCGGAGGTCTCAAAG